TTTCGGGATAATAGAGATAATGGGGATGGGACGGGATGGGACGGGACGGGAGGGGCGAAAACCTTTCTTCAGTGTGCAAGATCCATGGACAGCATATTGATGATTGGTTTAGTGCTGGGAGAAGTGTTTCCGGATCATAGAGATTATAACGGAGACGGAACGGGATAGAACGGGACGAGGCGAAAAACCTTTTAGCAGTGCGCAAGACCCCTAGATATCACATTGATGATTGGCTTATTGCTGGGAAAAGCGCTTTGGGATAATAGAGATAATGGGGACGGGGCGGGATGGGACAGGAGGGGCGAAAACCTTTCTTCAGTGCGCAAGATCCATAGACATCACATTCATAATTGGTTCAGTGGTGGAATAAGTTGTTCGGAGTAATATAGATAACGAAGACGGAACGGGATGGAACGAGGAGAGGCAAAAACCTTTCTGCAGTGTGCGACATCCCTGGAAAACACATTTATGATTGGTCAATGCTGGGAGAAGTGTTTCGGGATAATAGAGATAATGGGGACAGGAGTGCGCTTCTCTGGACTGCACATTGATGATTGGTTTAGTGCTGGGAGAAATGTTTCGGGTAATAGATAATATGGACGGGACGGGACGGGATGGGGCGAAAACCTTTCAGCAGTGCGCAATTGATCCTTGAACCGAGGTCTTGGCTTAGAAACGGAGGAGATACTCGGGGATGATATAGGGACGGCGAAGAGCGAAGACTTTTCAGAGACTGAAATTGTGATCCATCTGAGAGCCTTTTGAAAGTATGATTAGTTATTTTTCAAAAATGTAATCGTTAGAGTTTAAAACGTACCACTAGTTTGCAAATGCTCTTGAGGAAGCATTCGTCCCAGCTTCGGAAATCAACGATGACTGTACTTTACCCGGCAAACTTCTTTTACGAGTTATTTGTTTAAGTCTCAAAATTCGTTTGTTTAATTCGGTTTTCGAAGGATTATTTGTCTTCTTACAGGTCCAGAGCTTTACAGAGTATTTCCAAAGTGACTGTACGGATTCAATAGCATGGCTGAACGGTCCAAACTATTTCACAGCCATCACAGAGGGTTGGGCAGCTTACAACGAGTATGAACTGTTTCCAAATTACACTACACTCTACAACTGGGACTCCAATCAACAAGGCCACAAAGAAATCATGAAACAGAAGTATGGCATGTTGTACTACCAGGTACTTGAGACTGTCATTATTTCAGACGATCTTTGACAAATTTTTGATACATCAGTATCAAATTATTGTGAAAGGTTTGAACCCCGTTAGAAGTCATTTTATAGGTTGAGTATTGTATATGATTGTCCGGGTGAACGTTGTCCTGTGAACAGGGCTGGTTGTTGACAGTGGCTGGCGTTTCGACAACCTGTGCATTAGTCATCTTCAGAGTCAAAGTGAGTTGTATCACGTCAGTCGATGCTATAGGAAACATCACCGTTTACAAATAATGTTTTTGTTCTCCGACTATGTAACGGGTGAAGAACAAAAGAATCTTTTGATTCAAGAACCAATGCACTTCTGGTTGGCACGTTAATATCAATAGGTGACTTTGGCGTGAGTATCGTTATTAAACTCTGGTTATTAACCTGATTGGTCAATGAAGTCGCAATGTTTTTGGTCGTCTGTCAGTTAAGCCGTGATGACAGTTTTGCGTCAATAAGACGTTTGTAATAGGTCTATTGGTGCCGGTCTGTTGACCATGATTTAGCGGCTTTTGTTCTAGGTATTAACCAGCTTTCTAAAGTGAGTCGTTGATAGTAGTCTGTAGAATGCGTAATGACGCAGAGTCCCGGTGGATTCGATGTTTCGTCTACAAATATTAAATGAGACTTGAAAACTAATATATCAATCCCGACTTAACAGATATTAACAGTGGAACCTCGATAAGTATAACGAAGGGCCAAGGGACTGGAAAATATATATGCAACGAGGCTTTGCTGTATCGAGGTTCTTTTAATCCAGTAACACATATTTCTCTACTACCGGGGCAAAGAATATAGTTCGGTACACTGAGGATCTCGTTATACAAGTGTTCGTCGTATCGACTTTCCACTGTGTATAACTTTATAAAATTTGAAATACCCTACATTTTGGTACTAAATATCCTATGGGATAAGGTCTGTTAGGAGGATATTCCTCTCTCACCATTTTTCTCTTCTTGCTAAATACAGTAACAATAATGAAAAGTTTATCGCGTGAATGGCATAAATCGTCCAAATTCAATTTAGAGCTATATTTTGTATGAATTGATAACAAACATTGTTTTCATTTTTTGGCAGAAACTTCACGCCCTTCGTCCTATTGTCGACATAATGTTTCACTTTGAAGGCACAGATATGTCGACAATCCTTAATTTGTACAAGCAATACGTATGGGATGATAATACTCATCAAGTCAGGAAAGATATCTCCCGCATTCTTAGCACCCCTGGATTTGTAACGAGCTACATGATTGGTCAAATGGAAATATCACGTGTCAAAGACATGGCCGAGAGGGAGTTGGGTCCGGAGTTCTCGCTGAAGGATTTTCATTACGAGATTCTGCGCGAAGGAGAGTTTCCGCTGGAATATTTGGAAGAACATATTACAGAATACATTGCCTGCAAGAAAAATCCCAATAAAATAGGATGCAATGAAATTCTGTAATAACTAAGTTGACCACCAAAGCAGAAGTTCAGAACAATTCTCTTTTTCTACTTTACTTTAGGATGATGTTTGGATGAATTTTTTGTGAAACGTATGTTTATACAACAGATCATCGTTTTCATAGCCCTACGGCATACAGCTGTATAAGAGGCCATGTTATTATAGCCAAACAATGAAACTTCTTTTCCTTAGGAAATACGCCTCCCCTTTCTAAGGTTTCCAAAATGATTTACCTAAATGATCGTCATGTGCACACATATTCCTAATCGCTACAGCGTTTGCCGTATGGGTTTAACCCTCTCTGGCTGTGCATGTAATCATATTTCAAAAGGAAAACCGTTAGTTATCTGTTTCAAAAGAATGTTGTTTTATGTGCCACAGTTTTAGACTTAGATAGTCACAGTCAGCTTTGGGACCTCGCTGAAGTGGTCACTAGTTTTCAATTTTAAAAAACGTTTACCTACCTCAGACGCTACATCAAAAGCACGAGTCAGATACATTTAGAAATCCGCTTCAATCTCTCCTAGTGTCTCATTTGATCTTGGATATTTTACTGAAAACCTGTTTGACCTGTTTCTGCGTAGTATTTTACAGTATGAACGGCATATCTTGTAATATGCAAATCAGCTAAGTAATGGTATCTAATGCGCATGTGCATCAGCTGACTGTGTTCATTAATTTTGTAACAAAAAGAAAGAAAAACACATCAGCTGACTGTGTTCATTAATTTTGTAACAAAAAGAAAGAAAAACACAAGGAGGCATTTGAAATAAAAAAAAAATCGTTTCCTGGAGCCGTAGTGCGGCCTGCAGTGAACACGCATGGTAACATGAAGTACATTTACAAATCGCTTTCTAGGGTCCTGCACTAGTGTCTAGGTGTTTGGGGGTGCTATTAGACATGTCGGGTGGAAAATGCACTAGCTATAGTGTCAAAACTCACACTTTTTTTTCACCTTTTTCCAAGCTGCAGAACCGTGTCCCAGACCAGTGTTCCTGATACATGTGCTAAGACGACTAAAAGGACTCCAATACTGCAATTTGTCAGCTTAATAGGGGGACGGGAAATTTAGGGGCGCAGATAGAAACGGTGGAACTGATCGCATGAGAGTAGGACGCGCACGAGAAAGGAGGTACGCGTATGAGGCAAAAGCTACCACTCTCGAGCTCGCGCTTGTCTTCAGCTACGCGCGAGAGCTCTCGCGCGTATCACTTATCATGCGCCGCACGATTCTAAAAGGCACGGTAAGGCGGGGAACAAAAATGTTCAACCAGGTTCAACTTGTCTTACAACATTGCTGCGAAACGAGTTCAAAAGCAGTGTTACGACGCGTTTTACCCCCTATGAATCATCAAACCTGTCTTGCAACAAATCATGTTGTGGCAGGTTGTGCAAATTTGATACAGGAAGTTAAGAGAGTAGTTTTACTTTTTGCAACAAAATTTGTACATGTTGCGCGTTTTACCGGCCTACTGCAAACGTGTTTGGCAGCCAGTGACGTAACTCCCGTCTGGCGTGACTCCCGCGTAATTTTATCCAATCAGAGGTCTGTACACGCGCAACTCGCAACAACCCGATTTGTTGTAAAGACTGTGAGGGTTGAAACTGGGTGGCAAACTCGTTTGCAGCAATGTTGCAAAACAAGTTGAACTTTTTTTGTTGCCCGTACGTGTTTGTATAGCTTAAGTGCCTACAAAACAGGCTGTACTTGGCTAGACTGCAACTTAACTTGTTCCCAGGGTTATCTTCGACTCTCTCGCTCCGAAGACAGAGTAGAACCCAGTGACAAGGTATCCTCGTACCCAGGGCTTTTTTCCGAGGTTGATGATTAGGTTGGAATGCAGAGTGAAAAACGTTTGCTCATTTGTCGTTCTGGCTAACCGCTTTTTGGCCTGATTTTTTCTCACCTTTTTTAAAAAACACTACACTAAATTTAAGTTGTTGAGAATTTATTTGTTAGTTTGTTAAATAAATTCTTCTTAACGCCCGAGGTGTTTAATTTAATCGAAAATCCAAATCCCATGACTGCGCATTGTATTTTATATCAATAGCAGCTAAACAGTGTATCATGCCGTGAAGCATGACCGCGCGGGCCGATATCTCATTATATATGGAAAGAAACGCGTACTATCAACAACTAGTTACATCAAGCACCAGTCTGGTTTCTTTCAAATATACGATGTTATTTTTCGACGTTTCTTCTGTGTGAGACATACTACAAAAGAGAGTGGAAAAGAATATCAGGTAGGTTGACGCAGCCAAAACCGTGTTGTCATGGTAGAACTTTTTTGTACAAGCTTTGGTAATTTGTGAGATATTTCAAGCATTCCTAACACTTGAACAATTCCTTTTTCAAGGTTTAGTTAATTTTCCCACAATTGTAGCTTGCAAACGAATGTTTATTCCAAAAGATACTCTAAAGGATTCAAGTTTTCTCTCCGTTGCATCGTTGGACCTTCGATTAAGAGTTAAAGGCATTTAGATGCTATGATAATTGATGGAATATGTTACACAAAGAGCTCCTCTTGAAATAATATTTTAAGGCATCTACAGGCCAAGTGAATTTTAGGCATTTTCTATGCAGTAGCCTTTTTTGAAGAGTGTTCAGGTTCTGTTTCCTTCAATCACAGCAGAATTTACCTCGAAAGTTTTTTGAGACGGAACTCGACGATCTGATACCCCGCTCCCGCCTTTCGGAAGGTATAAGTAATATTTTGCGTTAAGTCTTCCACATAGTCGTTACCCTGGTGTAGCTAGAGAGTTTCGTTCCATTTTACAGCTTGTTTCAATACAGATAATTACTATGCATAGGAAAGCTCTCAATAAAACTACTCAACATACAGTTGGCGATCGTTTATCAGTTTTGTGTTTGGTTTTCGTGAGTGACTCTCGATGGATATTAAAACACGTCGATTAATCGCATGGTTTTCTACGCACTCTACATCCCATACAATGATTTTAAAACTGGAGTTAAAAGGCAGCAATGAATTGGGAATCCTTTAAGTGAAGATAAAGCACAAAGTTAAGCTTAAGGTTTGCTCTCAGTTAAAACGCCTGACTCGATGTGCTAATGAAAATGGCAAGTACTGACGCGAAACGGAAAAACTCTGTTGTGTTCGAGGTATTACGATCTAATTTACATGTCTGAAAACGAAACAGTTAGGCTACCGTAGTACGCTGTTCTTTGTTGCAAATACTACGCAAAAAGACAGGTTCCAGGTTTTGTAAGAAGTCTTACTCTAATACAACAATCTGATTACACTTCTTCTGGAACTTTACCGTTATAAGTTCTTCTTGAGTTGTCTGTTTGTTGTAAAATCATAGTTATGTAAATTTTCGTATTAGATTGTAGTTCCCTTTATACGTCCTGACCCTCCAAACATCTATCGTACATCTTGTTTGGAAATTTATCTTTAGATTTATTACAACAACCGACATGACGTCCTATATACGTATAGCCTCAGTCAGTTCTTTCTAGTCAAAATCATGATTTGTAATCTAAGTTGTGGCTGCTATTTTAAATTCAGATGTAAATTAAACAATTGAAGAGTTTTGTTAACGTTTGTCAACATCCTTATACATGAATTTTAATCACTTAATTAGGACCTCATTTTACCAGCCTACCTAATACAGCATAGAATTTACTGAATCTTTGAGTCTTTTTATAAATTCTTAAAGTTCTGTTGGATGTCTCATCAAGTTTAAACTTTCTCGGCAAGATATTCTCATAAACAAACAACGACAAATTGTTGTACAATTTATGAGTTTAAGTAAACTTGACGTCTGGTAAACATTTGCTACATAAAGAGCATATTTTACGGGACACGCAAAGCGGAATGATTCCCTGTTTATATCACATTTCTGAACACTGAAATGATTCGTATCCGGTTCTTTTGACTCCAAGTCAGCGAGCAGGGGACTGGAAGCTACACCTCACGCGGACTTGCGCTAACTGAGAGTTTATTCATTTGGTTTTCAATTACACCTACCACTGAATGGACAAACTATTAAAAACTAGAAACACAAGCACTACTTTTTAACTTTATCTTGTAGAATCAGATTGTATTCTTACATATAGCACTAACAGAGTAAAACAAAGACTGTTTTTATACACAACTTATATTATGTCACATATAAGGGATAGAATTAGTTCTGGGTTTGCAATTTTTAACAACAGCCCTAACCAGCTCCTTCCGTGGCACGAGAGAGGTAGTGTGGCCTACTCGGGCCGAGTGGGTAGCGAGCTCGCAATCAGGCCGTCCTGGGTTCGAGTCTCTCTCTAGCCACTTGCTGGATTTGTTCTCAATTGTCCCGAGTTCAAATCCTCCCGGCCACTCTTGTAAATAGCCAACTGGTTACCTCCTGCTTGTTGGGGCGATCTCAACAGCAACCAAAGATGTTGAAAGATGTTGGACCAATATCTTGGATAATGTTAAACACGCTCTTAACGATTCAATTCTTCATTGCAGTGATCCCGTCATGGAGAATGGTGTAAAGAATATGAAATCCTCCTCATTGGCTTTTAACCCTTATAAATACAACAACAAAGAACCGAAGAAATCCAGAGACTGGCGTGGTCTGTTAATGATAATTGTGGCTCCACTTTTTCTTTGCGCAATTTTGTTGATAATATTCTTTTACGCTGTAAGAATCGCACCTGTAAAGCCTTACACTTCCCTCTGCCTTGGATCAGCGGAGGCTAATCGCTCAAACCTTACAGCGATGTTCAAAAAGATAGAACATATCTATTTCCATAAGCTGCATCCCGAGATGATTTACCAGATGGCAAAAGTCACGCCCGAGGAAATCCGAAAAATTTTTCGGCCTTTTGATCCAAATCCCGAAGCCATCAGGAATCGAACCGAGTTGGCCAATGCGACACTTAACGAGTTAAATTCCTTACAATTTAATACTTCGCTACTTAAACTTAGAGAACGAAAGGCAGTTCATGTGGCTCGATCGGTTTTACGTAATAACTTTGGCTGGGCACCTTATGGACAAGACTACTTCAATGGAGATTGGCTCTTAGGACCCGATTCGCATTGCGTCATCCCTGTTTGTTCCTTGTTAACTCATCTGAACGCCGCGTTTTCTTATTTCAAACCGCGTAACCTGACCGAGCTGGAGAAACTAAAAGATATATTCGAAGAGTACAATCGAACATTGGAGCGGCATGTAGAAAATTGGAAATACGGAGTAAGGGCTGGTTACGTCAGGCCACTCGAGGGGTGTAAAGCTGGTTTGCATCAGATCAAGTATGTAGCGTACAGAGGGATGACCTTGAAAAATGAGCGAGGTAAGTGCTCAGTGCATATAAAATATGTGTTCACGTAATTCAGGCAGTTCATGATTACATAGCGTAACCATTTTTAGATCAATAGAATTAGCAAAGGATTTTAGAATCCCATTTACGGCAGACGGCGAACTGAGTCAATTTGTACTACGTGACCAAGTTTCCCCCTTACTTGCCGTTTACTGTTGTTTAATGTAAGTACGCACTTTAAGAAATTTTATTTCAGGTTTACCCATTAGAATTATCTTGGACAGGAGCCCATAATCACGAGAGAGTAACTCCCTTTGGCCTATTCAACGGCGTTTTCAAAGAACAGTTTATTTTTAGATGGATTTTCCAGCGTATTTTGAATAATATCAAATAGGACTTAAAAATCAGTCATCAAAAACCGGGGCTATGCGCTCCTGTATTGTATAGATGAGGCATTCGCTGTTACTCTCATGAATTCAAGCTTTTTTGATCAGTTGTCAGACTCTGATAACAAAACGTGGAAGGAACTGTACATTCTCAATGTGACGTCGTACTTCAACAGATCCCTTATAGAGAATATCGCCCAACCAATATTAAAGATGCTAAGGTAAGGTCCAAACTGCTCACAATCCCTTTTTTTCCTCTAGGGAAAGCGAAGACTGGGTAGAGTTTGTGATCTCTTACGGACTACATGGCGCTCAGTTAACTTTGGGTCCCGATTGGCCTGTGTAACTGTTACTCGTAATTCTATAAATTTCGGAAAGAATTCGCTAACTTTCGGAAGTAATCGGGTCACATTTAGTCATGGATTGACCAACGTACCGCTCTCGTGGATGATACAGGTAACTTTCTGTGTCAATGGTCCAAGTTCGGCAGCTTTAGAATTATGCTTAATTTTAACGAACTTTTTGTTTATTCTACCCAAAGGTACCTTGAACATGAACACCTACTGAACTGCCCAACCGAACAAAACTCTAACAACGGACTTGGAAGTCTGCCTCTAACTTCGGTATTTTATAATGGCGTTGTTGATCCGGGCACGACAGCGACTGGAGAGCTACCCACCAAGGAAAAGCTAAGTGGTGCTAAGACTTATGAGAATTTCATGAGATTCTACACTTCTCTGGAAATATCACCGGCTGAACTGAGGCAGAAGGCCACTAACAGGCTGGAAGAGTTGTACAATGAGGTGACAACATAGCTAAAATTCTAAAATAGTTATACCACAAGTTTTCTTTTGCAAAATAGTAAACCAGTCGACTTACAGGAAAGTACGGCTCTTGTATATATGTGGCGTTATTTTATTTTATTTTTTGACAAGTGGTCACACGTTAGTATTTTATTCACGGACTCTAGAACCACCTTGTAGAGCATAATACACAGCACCACAGGAAAGAACTTCTCAGTAGCTTTCATTTGAATGGTCACACTTAAGGCTTTCATCCCCAAAATTCAAAAGCTAGAACTACCTTATACAAAGCAAAATAATCAGCACAACAGGAAGGGACTGCTAAAGTACTGCTTTAGCATAGCTTTTTGGGCAATTATCACCCCAAGTCAAACGACTTCACTATCACGCACAGACCCAAAAGTGTGGAAAGGACTTGCGACATTACAATACATACACCCCAACATTCGGCTCCAATGACCCCAGTAGTCCATGTTCGATATATTACAATTCTAACAGGACTTTGAGGCTTTAGGGACAAAATTGCAATTTTTTCACGACTCCATTGTCTCGCCATTCCCAGAATTGAGAGACTTGATAATAAAGAAAACCAAACCAAATATAGCGAAATGACCAAATAGCCTCGGAGTCATGTTACAATTTTAATATATCAAACGTGGACTATTGACTATGACGGTAAAAGGGGGCTCCCTCGGCCAAGTATATGTACATTTATTTTTCTTCAGGCAGTAGACATTGCCAAAAGATACACCTTGCAACAAGACAACACCACCGCCATCGATCAGTTTACGCAGGCGCTGAATAGACCAGACATGTCTTTTAACGAACAAACGTTTCCTAGCAACGAGAGTGATGACGATGCATTTAGTAAATGCTTGGATGACGAGAGTGCGCAGAAATATTGCCCCGAACGATGGAAGGCAATGCAAGCATGGATAAAGAATACCGTCAGTGTAAGTAGACTATAGACCAGGCCTTAGTGGTTCACTGAAAGGAGGATAACTCTATCCACTGGATGAATCAGCTTTCCAGTGGATAACGCAATCGGTTCCCAAATACTTAATATAAGCTGAATAGCAATTTAGCCGGCGGATAGTGCTATCCAAGTTAACATTTCTTACGAAAATTCACTTTTAAACTAGTTATAAATTGCCGGCGAATTTTGTAGGTTTTTTTTAGCCTTTCACTGAAATAAAAGCTTTTGTGGTTGTCCACAGTCTTAGTCTTCCGCTATGAAGAAAGTCCCTCGAATGAATGATTTTCCAGTAATCGGAGACTTAGTTATGCGCACAGGATTATGGGATCGCCAGAGGGCAAACATTGCAAGTCGCTACAAAGAAATGTATGGCGTGGAGCTGTTTCTCCGTTTAAAACCAGTGTCTTTGGACCGAGAATGCCGCATTTTGCCGTGATTTTACGAGAAGCAGAGGTGACTAATGTTGGTGCGTTGATTGTAAGTTTTTGTGGGATCATTGCGATGAAATCTATCGATAAACACTCCTTCTTGCGTAAGGTCGACTGTGAAATTTACTGAATGGTCTCGAAATATATAGTACTAACTTACCAGGTATAAATGAGCGGAGAATGTGGACTCATTTATTAGGCCTTTCCAGTTGTAAGTACATGTGCTGATATTTACGAGTGTAATTACGTTCGGCTCGGCGGCCATCACAACGCTGTACCAGTTTGTGACAACGATCGAAGGTAAGCTTATGTATTGTCGAATTTGATATGTATTAACTGTAAAAGCAAAAACATCTTCCCGACATTGGTATATTGATTCCCTCTAGCAAAAAAAACACAAGCGAAATGTTTTGTCATGATCCAGAGCACCAATGAGTTCTAATGCTTTTTCTAATTATTTTGAGGGAAGATATAGAATCTCTGAATTTCGCACATCAACTTGGTATTTATTTACACACTCACTGCTTTTGTATCGGAAATCTTACTCGTTCGTACGATTTCTGCGTCATCTACTAATGGTTAGATACTATGTACTTTCCATGAAATATTTCGTAGATGTTACTTTGTTTATACCGAAGTAAAGGAGGATTTTTTATTCTTATGGCCACTACGATCGTTGAGCGTCATAACCCGCACAGAGCTGATCGCGGCCGAGCGTAGTTACACTCGTTGTAATATCACCACACGTAATTAAAACTAAAAAGCTTAAATGAGCCAATCCCCCTACATGTATACCTAAGTTTGCACTATATATTTCGAGACCTTTTCTTCATGTAGATCACTGTGTAAATTCAGTAAACATGAATTTCACACTCAACCTCACGTAAGGAGTGTTTATCGATAGGATTTAACGCATTAATCACACAGAAACTTGAAATTTCAACGCACCAACATTAGTCACCTCCGTTTCTCATAAAATCACGGCAAAGTGCGGCATTCTATGTCCTAAGACAGTGCTTTTAACGGAGAAACAACTCCACGCCATACAATTCTTTGTCGCGACTCGCAATGTTTGCCCCCCTGGCGATCCCAAAATCCTGTGCGCAAAACATGAGTATCCGATTACTGGAAAATCATTCATTGGAGGTTCTGTCAACATTTGGTTTTTGATGCGTTTTTTGATTGCAGACAATGAGCACCATCAGACCAGTTTTGGACCCTCTATTTTACGATAGTGGCCCTAAGCGCTCCATCCCTACCTGTCAAATTGAAGTTATTCCATGGTATCAACCGTACGCCAGCTTTCAAGCCTACTCTCCTGGCTCTAAAGACTGCAAGAAAAACTCTTCCCAGGCGCTGCCTTTTTTCTTGGACAAATTCGGCCCAAAATGGACCGAGTATACCACCACATCTCATGAACAGCTACCGGGCCATCAACTTGAGGTTTGTTGCGCCTTCTTTTACTCATGCTAGTCTTTTTGTACAAATGTAAGAATCTATTGAGAATTTGGACTTTGATCCTTTCAGTCTTCACATATGCTATTGAGGTCTTGGGGTGCACTTTTTATAGTAAATATTTAACTAGAATTGATAAGCTCTTTGCCAGGTGTTATAAGTTAAGTTACTGCTTAAAGCAGCACAGTATCTTGGACATTCTTCGTAATAGAGATATGAAGTTATGGCGAAGGATCTCTTTCACCAACAAGGCGTTGAGCGATCTGTTAGCTCCCCAGAGAACACGGCAGATGAGAAATAGGTCGCACAATTATATTCTGCCTAGTGTCCGGACAAGTCGTTTTAAATCCGTTTTTATTAATATATGGTCCCTTCCTCTTCCCGACTTATCTAGGAAGATCGAAGGGCCTCTGCTCGCAGGGTAGGCCGCCTTAGGAACTCCAATTTTTCTCCCCGCGTCCGTATACAATATGTACCCTCAAAATCTCACGTTACGTCCCTGCTGCACTTTCACCTATGCCTTAGTCTTGATGGACCCTTCGGGAGAGGCGCCTTTTGACTTTGTTTTCAGACTCTCTTAGGGCTTCGCAAACCCTCCGCCCTGTCCAATCATGGCTCTTGACTCTATGTAAAAGTAGCAGCAAAGAGACTTCAAATGAATAGCCCATTATTCTTTATAGGATATTGTCCACAAACCGGGCTCGAAATTTAACACTTTGCTAGGCAAGTATGTCTCCATAATTGCTTTTAGGACTGCAAGGGGATAGTACGCATCGCCTAAAAACTTGTAATTTCATTGGTTCTCCATACAACGCAGCTCCATTGTTGTAGGGATAGAGTCATTGTTATATTTCTATGTCTATTGTTTTCATAGCTAATTCTGTAAAAGTGGAAAGAGGAGAGACGGCTACATTCGCAGGCTATACATGTGATCGTCCGGGAGAGGGCGCACACTCCCGAAAAAGAAGAGACTTTTTGATCCGACAACGCTATGATACCAAAAACGTCGCAAACATTTCGAACAATAGTACAGTCAAAGCTCTTTAATACGGACACTTAGGGAAGGGGCCATAGAAATTGTCCGTATTAACGATTTAATTTAGGGAAAATGTATGGGCTTTCTTTCCCTTAGAAACAAACCAAACTGTCCGTATGCGTTTTGACCAGTGGCGGATCCAGGGAAGGGGCCCGGAGCGCCCGTCCCCCCTCCCTATTTTTAGATCAGACTGAGACCCAAAGGGCCGAAAAAAATTTTTTTGGTGACCGTGCCCCCTACTTATCTCAGGCTCTGGATGACCGTCTCCCCTCCCCCACCCCCCTTATCTGAAGGTCTGGATCAGTAACTGTTGACTGTATTTTCAAATTCTCTTTAGCTTTGCTTACCTAAATCTCTGGAACTCTCTCCCCATTGACCTTAAGAAAGGAACATGTGTAACCTCATTTAGAAAGGCTATTTATAGTCATTTTTTAACGAGATACAATGACGTTGATCATTTTAGCTTAAGTGAAACTTAATTTTATTTCTTAGTTTTATGCTAATCCGGCATTTCACAACCTTCCTCTCGCTTGACCCATCCTAGTTGTATTCTTATTGTAATTATAGTTTGTAGATATTCATTGTAAGGATATTTTATAATTGTAATATAGTTTTTACTCTTTTTAGTCCTATTCGTACATATACTTATAGTTCTTTTTCTTTAACGATATGATTGTATTTTTGGTAATTCTTGCTTTATAGTTTTAGTTTGAGGGCCACTGAAGTACTGTCCCGTGTTACCCTCGTTAAATAAAGTTGATTATCATTATCATTACTATTATTATTATTATTATTATTATTATTATTATTATTATTATAATCCACAGGTTCAAAGTTTCATCGAGTTTTTTGAAGACAGCTGTACGGATGCAATTCACTGGCTCAGTGCAAATAATTGGTTCCCCGCAATGACGGAGGGATGGGCTACCTACGCTGAGGGCATATTACTTCCTTTAAATACCAACCTATACACTGACATTTCAGACAAACAGATACTGCTGCAAAAGTACGGAGTGATCTACTATCAGGTACATATGACACTTTTACTCTTNGGGCCCGGAGCGCCCGTCCCCCCTCCCTATTTTTAGATCAGACTGAGACCCAAAGGGCCGAAAAAAATTTTTTTGGTGACCGTGCCCCCTACTTATCTCAGGCTCTGGATGACCGTCTCCCCTCCCCCACCCCCCTTATCTGAAGGTCTGGATCAGTAACTGTTGACTGTATTTTCAAATTCTCTTTAGCTTTGCTTACCTAAATCTCTGGAACTCTCTCCCCATTGACCTTAAGAAAGGAACATGTGTAACCTCATTTAGAAAGGCTATTTATAGTCATTTTTTAACGAGATACAATGACGTTGATCATTTTAGCTTAAGTGAAACTTAATTTTATTTCTTAGTTTTATGCTAATCCGGCATTTCACAACCTTCCTCTCGCTTGACCCATCCTAGTTGTATTCTTATTGTAATTATAGTTTGTAGATATTCATTGTAAGGATATTTTATAATTGTAATATAGTTTTTACTCTTTTTAGTCCTATTCGTACATATACTTATAGTTCTTTTTCTTTAACGATATGATTGTATTTTTGGTAATTCTTGCTTTATAGTTTTAGTTTGAGGGCCACTGAAGTACTGTCCCGTGTTACCCTCGTTAAATAAAGTTGATTATCATTATCATTACTATTATTATTATTATTATTATTATTATTATTATTATTATTATAATCCACAGGTTCAAAGTTTCATCGAGTTTTTTGAAGACAGCTGTACGGATGCAATTCACTGGCTCAGTGCAAATAATTGGTTCCCCGCAATGACGGAGGGATGGGCTACCTACGCTGAGGGCATATTACTTCCTTTAAATACCAACCTATACACTGACATTTCAGACAAACAGATACTGCTGCAAAAGTACGGAGTCATCTACTATCAGGTACATATGACACTTTTACTCTTGACTTGCTTTACTCTGGGTAGCCTCCGGCCCCCACAGACGTTCTTTTGGCTCGTCAAGCAATCCTCAGGAACGCGTCACAAACTCCTGAGAGGCCGGCCATACTCTGGGTGCGTTAATTCCCTGTTTTTAAATTCATTAAGGGCGAGTATGGTTAAAAGTATTATTTTTCGTATATTTCCGCCCTTTTTCTTTATATCATATCTAGCCCTTTAGTCCTTGGTTCAATAATTTTTGGAGCATTTTTAGATGACTTTTCGAATGTTTTTAATGTATAAGAATTGGGGAATGTTAAAAATTTTAGAAAATTGGAAAATATTGGATTTTGAGGTTGTTAAAAATTAAAATATTAAGTGAATAATTGGTAGTTAAGACAAGTACCAGATAGTCCACCACCACAACAAGGTGCATCTGAGCCCAAAGTGGACTAACTGGTTTATATGTTTATACCTTTTCCCCTTGATTTATTTCCTTCACAAATCACCATCATCTCCCCCAGACAACACGCACACTGCCCCCTTAACCCTTTCACTGCCAAATTTAGCCGAAAGCAAATTTAAACCAAACTTCCAAATTTCATTTTGTGAAATTTTGAAAAACAAATAGCATCATGTGTAAGTACAGGCAGAGAGCTTTCATTTGAATGGTCACATCATAGGATTTTGTCTACAGAATCAAAAGTTAGAGTCACCTTACAAAACTCCATCAAACACTCTGGCAGTAAAAGGGTTAACGGATATTGAATTTAAAGAATCCACACTTCGAATGGGTTCATCGGATCAATTTTATCTGGGCTTTTAGGATTCATGATTCATTTGGTCTCGGAGCACACATTGGAAAAATGTACTCTTGTCATGCGGCTATCTTGTGAAAATATGAGGCCTGCCACCTCCTTACCGATTCACGGCAAATAGACCTTGTTCAAGATACCCGCCATTTTTGCATGCGCTGAAGACCTCAGACGAGAAAAAACAATGTCAAGTGGTTTCTCAGGGGCCAAGCTCTCAGGGAGTGCGGAAGACGCGAAAGTAAAAGGAACGTGAAAAGTTGACGGGGCGGGAAAAAGGAAAAAGGAACGGCTAGATCCCCAGTTTCCTCTTGTTTTATTTTCGTTTTCGCGCTTTCTCAATTCAGCGGACCCGACTACCGTATTTATACGAATAAGCGCCCAAACTCGAATAAGCGCCCACCTCGAATAAGCGCCCATCCTAAAGGCAGGAAAAGTTCATAGGCGCCCAGTCTCGAATATAACGTCCCGGCATTTGTTTGCTTTCAACAGCTTTTGGCCGCTCTCCGAGCAGCGGTGGACATCGATCTCAATTACTACGGTAAAACCCGAGCACAAGCAAGACAATTGTACAAGAAGTACATCTGGGACGACAACACAGACTTTGTCAAGAAAGACATCACCAGAATTACAAGCGTGCCAGGTTTTGTAACCAGCTATATGATCGGCGAGATGGAGATAACGCGTCTCAGAGGTTTGGCCAAGACGGAGCTTGGTACCGCAGTTTTCACGCTGAAAGACTTTCATTATGAGGTGCTACGGCAAGGCGAGTACCCGCTTCCTTATCTTGAAGAAACGATACAGAATTACATCGCCTGTAAGAAGGATCCTACAAGAATTGACTGCAAAGAGTTCTTTTAGCTTGTGTTTGAAGAACCGAATTCGTCTAGTTCGGCCCATGTAACTGCGGAGCGAAAGAAAAAAATGGGGGGGGGGG